CTGAGAGAGGGAATGTCTTGTTTGTGGAACAGTTAAGGAGACCAGTATCACTGGATTGAAGAATAAGTGATAAGAAGTAAGGTATAAGAAGAGTGTAATGAATGGTAGGGAGGTGGGGCTAGGTTTTGAAGGGCTTTGAAGGCCAAGCAGAGAATTTGTAATTGAACTTGGAGATAATAGGGAACCACTGGAGTTTATTCAGTGGGTGTAGGAGGTGGCAGAGAGGGAGAGTGACAATATCAATCCTACTCCTTAGGAAAATCACGTTGGTGGCTGAATGGAGGATGAAGCAATATGGGGACAAAACTTGGAGCAGGCAGACTAACCAGAGGACTATATCAGTAGTCTTAACTAATAGATGATAAGAGCCTGGATCAGGGTAGTAGCATTGTCAGAAGAGAGAAGGGGTCATATTCAAGAGATGTTACAGAGCTGAAATCAACAGACCTTGGCAGCAGATTGGATATGGGGATTGAGAGACAGTGTGGGATTGAGGTTGACAGCCTAAAGGACTTGGGAAGGTGGTATTGCTCTTGGCAGTAAATAGGGATGTTAGAAGAGGGGGAGGGTTTTGGGGAAAGATATTGAGTAATTAAAATGTCCATGTCCTTTGACCCAGAGATTCCATTATTGAGTTTATACTCCAAGGAAGCCATTGATAAAAGAAAGTTCCACATATACAAAATTATTTATAGCAATGCTTTTTATAATAGCCAAGAATTGCAAACAAAGTAGATGGCCATTGATTGTGGAAGGAGGAAACAAATTGTGATACATGAATGCAATAAAATATTACTGTGTTGTAATGATGAATGTGATAAATACATAGAAACATGGAAGGAGCTACATGACTGATGCAGAATGAAATAAGCAAAGCCAAGAAAAATATACACAATGGCTGCAAGCATGTAAATGGAAAAAAACAACCATAAATAACATCAAAAGTGAATGTTGCAAAATTATAAAGAATAATCATGGCTCGAAAGAAGAGATATGAAAAGACTCACATCCTACTCCATTGTAGAAGTGGAAAGTCCACAAATGTTATATGTATTTTCAGATTTTTTTAAATGTATTAATCAGTTATGCCATTTTCTCCCTTCTTTTTCTTTTCTTTTATCTTAAAAACACTATGTGTTGGCTTTCTGGGAAGGTGAGGGGAAGGATACTGTGATGTAAAGAATAAGAATGTCAATACAAACTTATTTTTTAAAAATTATTACTACAGAATGTAGAAAATACTTGAAAATCTACCATTAAATTTATGGATTCCTAATAGGAGCTAATTTCTTTCCCACTTAACTTGAGGAAGGATCTGCCAACCTAGGACAGACTGTTGCCATTCCATTGTTCTCCCACTGCCTATCTGCTGAGCTGGCCTGTCTACAGAAAAGGGAGATAAATGCCATTCCATCATCTTCCTTAGTTAGCCCCTCCTCTCAACAGCCCAGTGCCCTAAAATGACTTCATCCTGAGACCAAACCCCTAGTTTGTCAGTGATTAAATTTCTTCCATCCAGTCATACCCTCCCCATCCCAGTGAACCCACTGAACCCACTGAATGCCTGGCTGGCATTACTCAGATCCCCTTCTTGGTCCCACACTGTCCACTCCCTTATTCCTATTTCTATCAACCAAACTCTCCAATGTTCCACTCTAAAGCTACCCACCCTTTCCATTGTACTCTCTAGAATACTTGCTCCAGAAATAACAAATCTGCTTTCATCTTAAATCTTTTCCTTTCCTACTCCTTCCATCTTCTGGCTCTCCCTGAGACCTGGAACCCTCCAGATCATACAGACTACCTGTGGCAATCCTTTCCAGCCCTGGTTGTGCTTTTGCTCATTGCTCACTACTTACCGGTCAGAGCACAGGAAAAGCATAATACTCTTTGCTCCGCATTGCTACTTCCAAGCTCATCTCCCACAACTATTATTCATTAACCTTTCTACCTTTGAAGTTCACTTAACTATATATGCCACCCAATTATAATTCTGGTAGCCCTTGTCTTATCAACTTCCTATACACTCCCCTTTTTTCTTGGCTCAGTCTTTCCTCTCCAATTTCTCCCTCAGTACTCATATTCGGAAGCTTCAGCTAGTGATACTCCTCCAAATACCTTTACATCCCAGACCTTCAGTTTGCTCTTTTCCCATGAGCTACTCCTCTACTCTACCACAACTACACACAGAGACCATCATACCCTTGATCTTGCCATCACCCAGGAATGCACCGCTTGCATGATCATGAGCTGTGAAATTCCCTTCTCTGATCATTCATGTTTCATTTCATTTCTCTTCAAGCTCAGGTTTCTCTCTCTCTCTCTCTCTAAATTCCACTGCCTCCATATCATCTCCAGGATTATATATAAAATCCTCTGTTTGATGAAACCTCCTTCTCCTCTCCTCTCCCCAACATTTCCCTTCCCCTTTCAAGCTTTTACTCCCCAGCCATTTTCTCTTGAGATCTAGTGATACCAGTCTTCTTGCTGTTCCTTGCATAAGATACTCCATCTCCTGACTCCAGGTGTTTTGACTAGTTGTCACCCATGCTTGGAGGACTCTGCTCCTCCTCTCTGCCTCATGGTTCCCTTCAAGTCCCAGCTAAAATCTCATCTTCTACAAGAAGCCTTTCCTGAACTCCCTTAATGCTAGTGCCTTCCCTCTGTTGATCATCTCCAATTTATCCTGGGTGTGTCTTGTTTGCATGTTGTATCCCCCCCATTAGACTATGAGTCCTTGAATACAGCAACTGTATTCTTGCCTTTCTGTGTATCTTCAGTGTTTAACACAGTGCCTGGCACATAGATGAGTGTTTAATAAATATTTATTAACTTCCTGACTCATCAAATGAGATAATTGTAATGTGCTTAACACAGTGCCTGGCACATATTAGGCACATAGTAGAGCTCAGTAAATGCTTGTTTCCTCTTCCCACCTCATCCCCTATTGGTGCCCAAGCAGTGTTAAGACCCAGAGCCTATCTTCAAGTGCATTAAATAGATCTTTCTTAATTATTTGTTGAAGGACATGGACAAGAATCTTAGAGAATGAAATTACACAATTAGAGACACTATCCTTATTGATGAGTATAGAGTCATTAATGCATTAATGATGTCCAGCAGAGATACATTTAATGTTAGCGTTTAAAAAAAAGTTACAATTAAGCATTCACATCTTATCCCAATACTTGGCAGCATGAAATAAATTTCATTATTGAAATTTTAAATCCTTAACCAGGTATCCTTTTTTGTTATGACTTTGTTAATTATTTCATGATGAATTATTTAAGTTACTAGTAAGCAGTTATTTCTATGCAATAATGCAGTGCTTTCTAAGTAATAGCTTTATATTATGTTTTTAAATGTGCTGACTTTTAGTTTGCATTTTAAAATAGGCACCTGTTAGGGAGCTAGTCTAAGACTTGCAATCAATTTTTGGTACTAATAATATAATGAAATAGTGTATGTAAGAATATGTGACCAGAGATATGAAAGCGCCTCTCTCTCTCTCTCTCTCTCTCTCTGTCTCTCCTTCTCTCCATGTGCTTGCATGTTTTGGGGAAAACAGCAGAATTTTATATTTTATTTTAGAAATTAATAGTGGTCCTGATTAAGAGATTAGAAAATATGCTGACCTTATTAATGATTCTTTGAAGAGATGGGTGTCTGTGGATGCAAAACATTATAAATATCGTCAGACTTGCTTGATATGTTCATTTACTTGCTGAGCTGCCTTTTTTGTCTCTTTATTTTTTATTCTTTGTTATAAGTTATGGCTCTCTGATATGGGAGAAGGGAGTACTATATTTAGAAAGGTAAAAAGAAAATAGGAAAAATTTGAAAAGCAAAAAGATGAATAATATCTTTAGATAGTGCTCATAAATTGCTATCAGGCCCTTTCTTAATAAATAATATATGTACATGTGATATTATCTGCATTGTATATTTTTTCTCAATAAAAAACTTTGCCTTCTCTGTCTCCTACCACAACCATGGGAATGACAGAAAAAAATGAAGCCCCTGTTACAAACACATGTCGTCAAGTGAAAACAACTTTCTGACTTGATCACATACACCTCGTTTTGCACTCTGAGTCCTTCATCTCTCTGTTATGAGATTGGTCATCAGTTCCCTAGAGTCGTTGTTGCTCATTACCAAGTTGTTTATTTTTAGCCATGTTGTCATTGTTTAGATTGTTGTCTTTATTTTGTTTCTTAAACGCTGTGGCAGTATGTACAAGTCTTCTCAGGTTTCTCTGAAACTATCTCCATCGTTTCTTTCAACACAGTTGCATGCCATTTCACTTATATACCATCACTTGTTCAGCCATTCCACAATTTATGAGTGCCCTTTCAGATTCCCGTTCTTTGCCACTTAAAAAGAACTTTCTGATCAGATAGTAAATGCTTAATAAAAACTTGATTTGTTAACTTGACTTAGGGATGGATTTATATAACTTGAGATTTTCTAGGGGGGAAAAAAACCTATATATGGCTTATGCAGAATTAGCTAAAATCTTGTATATTTCATTAATGTTCCATGATTTCAGATGAGTCTAACTGCATTCTTGATTTTCTGTGATAGAAAAGGTGGTCATGTTGTCAGGTTATTTTTCTTTTCATATTATCTCGAGGTTTACTTTTACTAAAGCGCTGTTCCAGATCATCATGATATGAAGGTGACTAATGCTAGGTTTAATGAGCCTAGCTAGATTCAGAGACTCATTCCAGAAGCTTGGGAACTGTCAACTGCAGCAGCTCAGAGAGTGGTTATAATGTGGGACTGTGGGAGGGAGTAGCCACCCCCAGGAAGCCATAGACCCCTTGAAGTTGGGAGGTAAGAAAAGAGGTGTATGTGCATACTGTCATTTAAATAAACATCATTTACTGAACAGAGTTAAAAGCTCCCAGTAGCATTGTTCACTATTTCAGTCACAGAACGTGTCAGTTCGGGCACTCTCTAGTTTGATTCTGAAACCAACTTGTGATGTTATCTTGCAGGCTGGAAGTCCAACATGCGCGTCAGCTCCCCATGGCTTCTCTCGCACGTCTGTTACCCCATCTAACCAAGACATCTGCAGGTAGAGTATTGCTCGTAGACCTGCTGGGATCCACATTGAAGGACAGTTCTTCCTGAAAAATATGTCATAAAAAGCACCATTGTGCTTTGCTTTGTCATTTTCTAACTTTTTGATCAGTATACATTTGATTCGAACTTTTAATGCTGATTTTGTGCACTGTTTGCTTGCCGTGTTATCACACTATTCTCATTTCTTCACTTTGATATATCTGTTTTCTCTTTTTTAATTGTTTTTACTTTCTGTCCTTTTATTCCACTGTTCTGCATGCAGTTCCAGTGCAGTGTTTTCTGAATGTTGTCATCACAGTCCCGTGCAGTCAGCTGTTGTCTTGAAATCTGCTCTCTGCCCGAGTTCTCTGACACAAGGGGTCACTGTGACAGTGATCTGTAAAGACACATTACAGGCCTCAAAGAAAAACTCCTATGGTCCAGAATGGATCCAGGCCTTTAAGCCTCCTAAGAATACCAAAGCCAGAAGAACTCTCAAGTTCTCCAAGTCCCTCAATGATGTGGTCGAGAAGGCCCAGAATAATATGGAGAATTTTGACTGTGTAGAAAGAACTTATTCTGAAGGAAAATTAGCACCACCTCAAGACCAGTGCCTCAGGATGAACAAATTTCACCATAAGGAAAAACAGATTCTCAATCTGAAGCCTCTTGTATTTGGCAATTATAAACACTCACATGTTCCATCATTTTCTGCGAATCATGCAAGCACCTTTGGAATAGGAGCCAACCAAGGGAGTTTCAACATCCCATCCCTTGAAGAGAAAGCAGATAATGAGGCAGCCTTGAAAAGCAAACGATTGCTCTGTTACCTCTTTTCCTTCTCTCACAGTTCAAGCACCAGCAGTTTGCACAAGTTCCATGAGCTGGAAAGCTGCTCTGCTGGCTTGCTGGCAGCTAAATCTTCCAGTGTGTTGGTGGGGAGCACGGGCTTCTGCTCAGATGATATGGGGGATGATGATGTCTTTGAGGACAGTGTATCCTCCAAGCTGAAAAACAAGGAGATACGGGCACCCCTCTGCTCCACTGAGAAAGATAGTGACCTGGATTGCCCTTCTCCCCTGTCTGAAAAGTTTACCCCCTTATCCCCTGTGTCAGCATCAGGAGACACATGCAGGTTGGTTTACCAAGAACCACCCTCCTTCATTGACCCTCCTAGTTGGTTCTGACTTGCTCTGCTTTCCTTGCCTCTCCAGTCTTTCTTTCTTTCTTTCTTGTTACAGATGAAGGACATGGTCACCAATTCAGGGTTAAAATATAGGTAATAATGTTGTTGAGACCAGATTTCTTAGTTAAAACAACAACAGCAACAACAAACCCCCATGAATCTTAAGTTGTCTTTATTTGTTGATGCCAAAACGAGAGAAAAAGCTGCAAATATTAAAGCCCAAGCTGACCTTTCTGAACTGAAAGGAAATATATTTTTGCTGAAAGAAATCAGAAGAGAGAAAAATAAGTGTTACCACTTGATTTCTCAGGTTTTTTTTTTAACAGCATATTCATTTCTAAAGATCATTTCATTTTCAAGCAAAGGCTGCCATTTCTAACCTTATCTCTTTATGACTCTATTAAAGCATGTCTTTTTTTTTTTTTTTAAACATGTCCTGTTTATGGAGCAACTGCCTCCCGTAACTCCGCCTTTCCTTATGATGAAATGGATTGAGCCATTCCCAACAAAATCCTAATTCCTTTTAGCGATAGCTGTACCTTCTAACTTTCTTAAGTCTACTTTCCCTTCCTCAAAACTCCTTTGGAATTTTCTCCTCTGTCTTTTACTTTTGGCCAGACCTCTCGACACTGAAATCATCAGCCTGTTCTGGTTTCACACCATTCACCACTCTTTCCTAGTTTCTGTTTTTTCCTGATGATTGGATCAGCAACCAGCATCAGAGAGAATGTGCAATATCCTGGGCCACACAGTTGGACCCCTTTCAGAAAAGGTGCCCATCCTAGCTTGTTTTCCAACTGCTAGAAAACACTTCTCTACTTCTCAAAAATCCATTTAATGATCCATGTTTCTTGAGGTTAGTAATCCTATTGTGCTGCATGCTGCCCTAGACATAAGGAATGGTTTTAAGTCATAGCCACTTTTTTGTGGGCGGGTCTCAACTTATGGCTCACAGGTTTTCTGGGAATGGGGATGGGGGGAGGTTCATATCCTGCCTTTGTTGCTTCCTACTTGTATGACCTTGGGCAAGTCACTTAACTTCTCTGGACCTCAATTTTCTCAATGGTAAAATATGGGGTTTGGACTAGATGGCCTTAGATCTTTGATCCCATAAGGTACATTGCCTGTTGGTAGAAGAAGCAAATGGGTTGCTGTGGCTTCTTTGTACCTAGCTAAGCTAGTGTGGGTTCCCTTTCATAGTTGGAAGGTAAATCATCTTTTTTAGTCAGTGCAGCATTTTGTTTTGGGAATAGAGTAGAATGATTGCTGATTTTATTTTTAATTTAAATCACATCTATGGATTTAAAGAATTTTGTTCTGGGAAATACTACTTTGTGGCTTTAAATACCTCTCTCAGTACAGTACCTAAGTCTTACAAAAACAAAAACCCTCTGCATCATAATTCCTCAGACATCCTTTTCTTCTCCATTGCTGAATACCTTCCAGGCCTTGTATATGGCTGCCGTGAGGTAGAGAGAATGGTAGTTAGCAGTGTTTGTGCTCTCTGGGCCTATCCATGGGCCCATAGTTTCTTTATGTGAAGGTGTTTTTCAGTGTGAATTGAGTGAGAATACATACGGGGCTTGCCTCGTGGTCACAGAGCTACTTAGATTTTCCACTGGAGTTTCACTTTTCCTATCAGTCTGCTTGTTTTGTGATGAATATATTTTATTTCTGGTGCAGGATATGTCACTGTGAAGGAGATGATGAGAATCCTCTTATTACACCCTGTCACTGCACAGGAAGTCTTCATTTTGTCCACCAAGCCTGCCTACAACAGTGGATCAAAAGTTCGGACACACGATGCTGTGAACTCTGCAAGTACGAGTTTATAATGGAGACCAAATTAAAGCCTTTAAGAAAAGTATGTATGCAACATAGTACTTTTAAAACAAGGTTGCCCCCCTAGAATGTGTCTGATTTTACTAAAATGAATAAAAGAGATTGAGCAACTTTGCTCTAGAGATGTGCTAAGCCATGGCCACGATCCTACTAGGCCGGCATGCAGGCCAGGGTCCTTGACTCCCCCCCGTTTTACTCTGCCTGCTACGTCACACTGCTATTCCAAATTAAGCATATTGTTGGTGATGGAAAAGTAAATCATGTTAACTAAATAGAAAATAGCTTGATTCCACTACCATTCTGGCTGATAGATTGAGTGATTGCTAAAAGAAGATACATTAGAATTGTACTGAGTGATAAAATGATTTCCTTTCTTAAAAGTACAGAATAAGGAGGCAGCTCGGTGGCGCAGTGGATAGAACACCGGCCCTGGAGTCAGGAGGACCTGAGTTCAAGTCTGGCCTCAGACACATAACACTCGCTAGCTGTGTGACTCTGGGCAAGTCACTTAACCCCAATTGCCTCACCAAAAAAAAAAAAAGTACAGAACATTTGCTGGGTTGCTTTAAAACAACAGCTATAATGAGAAAACCCCACCAGCCTACTGGTTTGTTTGCCCGTTACATAGTTATTGAATCCCTTTTTTATCATTCTGCCTAGAACCAAAACATGTTGAATTTGCTCTGCTGTTTCCTGCCATTACCTTCAGTCTTAAGGCTAGTGTCAGCTTCCCTTTTCAGTAATTTACTTCATCTCATCCCCTCCCAAATAGATTTTTCTGTTTCTTCTCTGTCCTGGTGTATGCACACTAAGAAGGTGCGAGAAGAGACACACTCTCTGAAGACATAAGGGTCCATAGTGCTGAAACTACTGAGGTGCTGAGCTCTTCTTCAGCTTCCTTGGCAGTAAATCATTTTTCTCCAGAATTACTCAGATATGGCCTTAGATTCATTCTCTGTACACGGAAAGAGCAGTGTGAGGTGTGTATCACTAGGGAGGAAGTGATCTGTGCCTTTGTCTGTTTCAGCACAGTGGTTGTATAATCTAAGTTCAGCCCATTCACAGTGAAGGGGGATGTGAGACCCAGTTCAGATTATACTTTCTTAGGAGAAAGAAAAGCATAAACAGGAAGGGAAAAAAGGATGGAGAAAAAGACACAGATAGTAATCATAACTGTAAATGTGAATGGGATGAACTCTCCCATAAAATGGAAATGTATAGCAGATTGGATTAAAAACCATAATCCTACAATATGTTGTTTACAGGAAACATTTGAAAAAGAGTGACACACACAGGGTAAAGGTAAAAGGCTGGAGCAAAATATATTATGCTTCAGCTGAAGTAAAAAAAGCAGGGGTAGCAATCCTGATCTCAGACAAAGCAAAAGCAAAAATAGATCTTATCAAAAGAGATAAGGAAGGAAACTACATCCTGCTAAAAGGCACCGTAGACAATGAAGTAATATCATTACTAAACATATATGCACCAAATGGTACAGCATCCAAATTCTTAGAGAGGAAGTTCAGGGAGTTACAGGAAGAAATAGACAGCAAAACTATACTAGTGGGGGACCTCAACCTCCCCCTTTCTGAACTAGATAAATCTAACCACAAAATAAACAAGAAAGAAGTTAAGGTGGTGAATAGAACATTAGAAAAGTTAGGTATGATAGACCTGTGGAGAAAACTGAATGGGGGTAGAAAGGAATATACTTTTTTCTCGGCAGTACATGGCACATACACAAAAATTGACCATGTACTAGGGCATAAAAACCTCACAATGCAATGCAGAAAGGCAGAAATAGTAAATGCATCCTTTTCAGATCATGATGCAATAAAAATTATATGTAATAAAGGGCCATGGAAAGATAGACTACAAATCTGGCCTCAGACCAAACACTTGACACTTACTAGCTGTGTGACCCTGGGCAAGTCACTTAACCCCAACTGCCTAAGCAAAAAAGAAAAAAAAAAAAAGAAAGATAGACCAAAAAATAATTGGAAACTAAATAATCTAATCCTAAAAAATGATTGGGTCAAAGAACAAATCATAGAAGCAATCAGTAATTTCATTCAAGAGAATGACAATAATGAGACACCATACCAAAACTTGTGGGATGCAGCAAAAGCAGTTCTTAGGGAAAGTTTTATATCTCTAAATGCTTACATAAATAAAACAGAAAAAGAGGAGATCAATGAATTGGGCATACAACTAAAAAAACTAGAAAAAGAACAAATTAAAAATCCTCAATTAAACACCAAATTAGAAATATTGAAAACCAAAGGAAAAATTAATAAAATTGAAATTCAGATTATACTTTCTTCCCCAAAACTCCATATTTTTACTTTTGTGCAGATGACCTAAAGTTGAGATGAACAACTGAGAAGGTGAAAGGAAGGGAGAGAGCTATCCCAGTAGGGCTGAGCAGGGCCTCTTGGTGCTTGGTGGCCAGCACCCTTACCTGAGGGGTGGTAATGCCTAGGAGAGGAGGGTATTTTTTTTCCTTTTAGCATGAGCTGGCGGGATCATCTTATAGTACATCGTCTGCCTGGTCCTCATATTGTGGAAGGCCACTTATAGGTCAGGACCTGGGGATATTATCCAGAAACCTCCTTAATCTCATTCCTGAATTCATTTATTCTTTGCTAGATTAACTGATCTTCTAGTTCTAAATCTGTGATTCTGTGACATTTTTCAGGGTTATAGAAAAATACATGAGTAGGAATGAGGGAGAAAAAATTAGGTATTGTATATGTGTAATATATTTACATACTCATAACATAAAATAGTAACAATATAAACATGTATCATCACTTGTTCTGAAGTGAAAGAGAATAGTCCTATCTAAACAGTAGCTCCAGAATTTGTAGTACTCAATAAATATTTATTGAATTAAGACTTAATTAATGAATTAACAAATAAATTAAATACACCAATACTACAAGAAATAACCTGGGGTAGAAGAAATAGCACTGAAGTAATAATATTGTGCATGTACTACCCATCCATCTTACAGGGTTGTGAGAAAAATGCTTAATAAACCTTAAAAACTACAGAAATTTGAAATGTTTTATATATGTATTCTTCTGTCCAGAAAAAAATTGCCCTTCTGATTTCCATCTCCTATCTCAAAATTAGTTATGTAACCAAACATGTATTAAGCACTTCCTCTGTGCCCCAAAATGTGCTTTGTGTTGTGGCCACATGAAAGCAGCCTGTGAAATAATCTCTGCCTTGAAAGAACCAAGGCACTAACTTTTAAAGCATTTTTACAAAACTCTGCCAGGATAGTATAAAATCAAATGCAAATTGAATATACAGATTATCAGGTACTAGAGGGCTTCAGAGAGGAGAGAGATCACTGTGGGTTGGCATCATTGGGGAAAACTTCATGGGGAACATAGAACTAGAATAGTCCTTGGCAAAATGGAGAGAAATTGGATAAACAGATGACAGGAAGGCCATGTTAAGGTCAGGGAACAATATGATCAAAGGCAGGCATTGAGCATGTTCTGTTGACAAGACTAAGTAAACTGGCCTGGTTAGAATAGAGCAGTTGGTGCTAGGCAGTACTTGGACATTAGACATGTAGACTGGGGGGAAGGGGATTTTGGGATTGAGGCTCTGGTTTCATTATTGTATAAAAAAATAAACTCAGTGGTTATGGACTAAAACTATAGCATTAAAAAACATGTCCCCCAAAAGGCTGACAACTGACCTAGATTCTAAACTATCAGCAAAATCATGTGATCCTTCTAAAATTCAAATTAATGAAAAGAAAGGAGGACCCATTTTCATTTCAGTGCATACAACTTCTAATTGCTAAAAGCTAAAGTGATCACTAAACGGTAGCAAATCCTATACAGAAAAGGATGAAGAGAGGTGCTGCAGGATTGGGCATTGGGGGATCTGGTTTTAAGACCTAGTTCTTCCTAGCCAAGGATTTGCTATATGACCTTTGGCAAATTCCTGCTCCTCTCTGGTGTCCTCCCCTGTAAAGTGAGCAGTATTCCTCCCAATGATCTCTAACATCTCTGCCAACTCTAACATGAAATATGGAAGTATCCACCGGCTAGTCAGGCTTTGTTCTCACTCTGCATTCCCACTGAGCGTCTGTAACTTTGGGCTGCATTGGTGAGCTTTTCGATGGCAGGATAGGAGAATGATAAAAAGAACCAAAGTTATTCATGTCTGAGAATTATTAGCTTCAAATGCAAGCTTTTTTTATTTTTTATTGTGAATGTAATGGAGAACAAAAAAGCAAACTTCTTTTGACCTTGATCTCTGTGGTATATTTGTGACTCGGTTTACTTGTGTGTTTTCACTTCAGCACACACCCCCCTTATTATTTACCTGTGGCATTGGGAAAAGTGGGAGTTTCCAAAAGATACCTCCCCACCCCACGCTGTAAATTGTCTTCTAATTTACAGTATTATCTAGGGTCAATGTAGAGATGTCTATAAGAATAATTTTTTAGTTAGTGAGAAAATTTTTGTTGGACCGGTAGTTTGTTTCCTCATTAATCCTGATTTTTTATTATACAGAAAACTGGTTCCAAAAGTGGAACACTAACAAGCAGCTCATCTCTTGATAGGAGAATAAATGTTGTTTGTAAAGGTGAGAGGACAAAGCAGTGCTTCCAGTAGGAAATATTCTCACAACATTATTTTCAGTCTTTTTTTTTTTTAAAGGTTCAGATTTTATGCTGTTTTCTTTTATTTCTTGTCAGTGGGAAAAATTGCAGATGACATCCAGTGAACGGAGGAAGATCATGTGCTCTGTAACATTCCATGTCGTTGCAATCACGTGTGTGGTGTGGTCCCTGTATGTCCTCATAGACCGGACTGCTGAGGAGATTAAGCAGGGGCAGACAACTGGTATGTCTAAATGTAGACCGTTTAGTACCAACCCTCCCTGCCACCCCACCCTGTTTCCCGAAGTCTTTTAAGTTACTACAGATGTTTTGGATAACATGGTGATTTGAGGCTGAGCCTGAAGCTTGGTTATAATATGAATCTCAATGTGGCATAAAAGAGTCCTGAATTTAGAGCCCAGAGACCAAATTTCTAGTTTTGACTTCTTTTCTGACTGTGTGATCTCAGAAAAGTCCTGTCGTCTTTCTGAGGCCATTTCCTGATCTGTGAAATAGGGATTATAATACTTATCCTCCCTAAGATCTCCCTAGAGTGGTTGTGAGGATTAAAGGAAATGATATACCTAAATTGTGTGTTGTGATGGTGGCGATCTCAAATATGTGCTGTGGACAGACCTGTAAGACGAGGTCTCCTTGTACCTGAGAGGTCAGGTAGCAACAAGGCACAGCTGACCAGGTATTAAGAGGAGTCCTGAAGGGAGGAGGGAGAGGAGGCTTTGGAAGCAGATGGAGGTCAGTGGTGGACCCTGGGAGTCTGGCTATTGGCAAGACATCCTGGTGGAGGTATCGGCTCCGTCCTCTCGAGTGCGGTAGTGGGTGTGGAGTTGGAGGCACAGATGGGGAAATGATCCCCACAGTTGATACTTGAAGTCATGGGAAAGCGTGACATTTGAAAAGTCCTCATGTATTAGGAAAATAAGAGGTTTGAAGATGGGTGGGTGTCAGAAGTAGCAGAAAAGAACTCAGTGAAGGCAACTCGTACAGAGCAGTTAAAGGATGGGAGCAGAACTAGGGAGAATCGTGTGAGAGAAGCCAAGCAGAGGAGTGGTCAGTGCGGTCAGATGCAGAGAAACTGAGGATTGGGAAGAGTCTTATTGGGCTTACTGGTGTTACTGGCAGTCTTTTAGAAAGCAGGGTAGTTTGGAGGAATTGCAGGGGCAGAGGAAGGTTTTTGTAGGGCGGAGCAATTTGGAATATATTTTCCGGCAGGGGAGAAGGTTCATGGGGAAGGAGGAATGTGATGCAGCAAAGGTCTAGTAGAGGTGGACAGGGGCAGAAATGAAGGGCTCACGGATCAGCCTTTGAAGAGCAGGAGGAGGTGCAGGTAAGTTTGGAATTGAGAAATTCAAGAACATGAAGGAGGGTTGTGGAGGGAAATCATTCTGGATGGTTCTGATCTCAGCAAAGGAAGAGAGAGACAAGGCCCACTGCTCAGGACAGAGAGACAAGGAGGGAGGCTGGGGTTTGAAGGCACTGTCAATGTTGGGGAGCATTTGGTTTGATTGTTATCCTGACGAGCTAAAGATTGAGGAACAAAAGGAACACTGTTGAGCATTGAGAGCCCATCTGAGTTTAAATGGCATGACTTTATAGGTCAGCCAGTGTGGTTGTTTTAATGGCGTTACCTGGCAGTGTTTGGCACCTGGAGAGAAAACAGAGAAAATGGATGGAGATAGAATTTTAACTAGATCTGGGGATTTGCAAGGAGCAGGTATAGTGGGAATTTTGAAAGGGAAGAGATTCTAGGGTAAGAGGGAGGACATTATAAACATGAGTGACCATGAGGTCCATGCTGGGTAGGAAGGCACATGAAGCCCCAGGAAACAATAGTAGCAAGAGATCAAGAGATTAACTGCCTTGGTGAGAGCAAAAAGAAGTTTTAGAGGATGAAAGAGACAAATGGATAGGAAATTGTGTCAATACAGTCTCAGAATTTCAGACTTAGAAGGGACCCCATAGGTCACCTAGATCAACCCATCCTCTAGTCAGGAAGGGATTATTTCAGAGTTCAGGATGTTTGTTGAATAAATGAACTTCCTTCCATGCAGTTAGTTTTTAGATTTTTTTTTTTTTTTAATGTGGCAGCTAGGTGGCTCAATGGGTAAAGCACTGGGCCTGGAGTCAGGAAGACTTGAATTCAAGACTTGCATTCAGAAGGCCTCAGACACTTATTAACTCTGTGACCCTGGGCAAGTCACTCAACTTCAGTTTGCCTTAATCTGCTGGAGAAGGAAATGGCAAACCACTCTAGCATCTTTGCCAAGATAACCTCATGGACAGCATTGGCATACCATGGTCCATGGGGTCACAAAGAGTTGGACCACAACAGCAACAGCAATGTGAAAAATAATAATTTATGTGTTTTGGGAATGTCTGATTGAGCCCAGATCTATAATAGTATTATATTTATTTAAATGAGTGCATATAACAGTGTTACTTAGACTTTTTGGGGGGGCAGAGCATATCATATTGACAGATTCTAAAGGACATTTTACTCTCTGATACCATATTTATATTCCTTAATAGGCTTAATCACCTGCTATATTTTGTACAAATTTATTTTATTAAATACAGATTTAAATACTTTGGTCATTTTAAAATATGGCCAGTATTAGATCTTACTTGGCTTTACTCTGTGTACTTAGTGGTCCAATTTGTGATGAAGAAAATTCCTTTTTAAAAGAAGTGGTAAGAAAATTCCAGGCCTAAAGCCTGTTGTGAGTTGCATGCTCACACACATTAGAAGAGAGACGTTCCATATTGCAGTCTCCTTCCCTAAGAATCCCCTAAGCCCCATGCAATGAGAAGACAGGTATTGGAACCGGGATATGCCATCTATCTGCATTAGACAGCACCAGATCGTCATCCTAAATTGTGTAAATTGTCATTATCAGACTAGAATGTTTTAAGTGTATACTCAGTAATCACTGATGTAGACCTGTTTGAGTTGCTGTTTGGAGTTCAGCCAAATTGCAGCTCCAGGTGTAAAAACTTAACCTGTGAAGATGTCGGGAGAATTCCCATGGCCTTTCTGAACCACAACTTACACATGGACAGTGAATGCAATGTGTCCATCCCTTTAGACAAGAATCATCTTAATTAGTTGTGAAAGACGCTATTAAGATGGTTTTCACTTACCTTAAATTATTTTAAACACAACATAGGCATTCACAAGGAATAATATATCAGAGAAGTCACAATGCAGGAGAAGAGGAAGGGAAAATCCACTGAGAATTTTTTAAATGCTTCACATTCCTTGGAAAACTTGTTCATTTTTGCTTCTTTCACCCACTTAAATAAAAAGTCTCACATTTTAAGTGATAGATTTCAAGAGTCTTTGCTTAGCTTAATATGACTTGGGAATATGAGGTTTCCCACAGCCCTCAGTGGGAAATGAGGTACGTGGTCAGTGGTACTTTGTGTCTCAGTATGAACTAGTAACCAAAAAGCTGAATTAGCAATGACTGTGTAATGTCATTTGTAATTAACATCTCCGCATGCCTCTAATTCCTCCATTAGTAGAATGAGCCACATATTGGATTACCTTTGTGGGATGTAATAGAGATTAAGAGAACAGTGCTTGATAAAGCATTGTGTGACTCAGTAAATAACTTGTAGATGTCATGGTCTGTATTTCTTGTAAGTAAATCTTAGATGCTTTTACAGTGATTTTTGCTGCTAAAGCTATTATTGCTTATTAAGTTTGGAAAGGACTATTTGTCTAGCATTTATTTTTGAGTCTCTTCAGAAATGGTGGCAGAAACATAGTCTTACCTGTATTCTCCCATAATCTTGAAGTCATACATCCAGCATCCACAAACCGTAACCATTTATCAGTGTAAATTGTGACCACAAAATGAAAGGGAGTTAACAGTACACAGAGCAGTTAAGTGGGAGGAAAGAGAAAAGCTCAGTTTTCAAGTTTGTTGTGAATCTGGCTGAATCATTCCATGAATCATTCCGTTAATCAGTAGACTTTTACCAGTAGAGAAGACTGAAGACAAAAGCAAGAAGAAAATGCTCTTGTGCAAACAATGGTGGAACGTGCTAGGCAAGAGGCTGGTCTTTGGCCAAGAAAGAATGTAGTAAAGGGACTAAACATGAGGGAGGAATTCTGAAGAAATTTCATTTGCTGACAGCAAGATCATCGAGTTTAGAGTTCTTGTTTAGCTCTGATAACTCATTAACTCTTTCTCTCCTCAGGGATCCTAGAATGGCCCTTTTGGACTAAACTGGTGGTCGTGGCCATAGGCTTCACTGGTGGACTGCTCTTTATGTATGTACAGTGCAAAGTGTATGTACAATTATGGAAGAGACTTAAGGCTTATAACAGAGTGATCTATGTCCAGAACTGTCCAGAAACAAGTAAAAAGAATATCTATGAAAAACCTGCACTAACAGAGCCAAATTTCGAAAGTAGAGATGGGCGGCATGGGGCCTGTCATTCTGACACAACAGAGTCTGACGACCGTGGAGCAGAAATTCTTCAAGTCTGAGAAGGGGCTGTTTATTTTTTCCCAGACATTCATGAAGAGCTGAGATAACACTGTTTACCACAAACTGTATACCTTACGAAAAATAAGCCAACAGCTTAGACTGGGCGGCAGTTGAATTTTTTATTACGTTCTGTTTTTCTAAATCATCTTCAATCTATCTTTTAATGTGTTATCATCGTGGCTTACCTCTTATGTTGAGTATCTTATGGGTATGCTCTATGAGAAGGAATGGGAAAATGTAGGTGACTGAGGTTACTGAGAGGGAGCCATTTTGCCGGCTTATTCATGGTCAGCCAAGTTGTAAAACCTAAAAGACGCATAGAAGGAAAGCAAAATACAGAATATCTATGAGCGGCCACACCATGAAGCCTGAATTGGATTTTCCAAAGAGTCCTTTCTTTCACTTTAACATCAGATACCCCTAAGAACACTGGGAAAAAGCCAACTGTCACGCAAAGTCTCCATTACCCAAGGAGAGCCTGAGAGAGGTGCACTGCAGCCTCTGCCATTAACATCTCTCTTGGGTGGTCAGGTTATGATCATGCTTTACATATAAAGATGAGTGACTCACAAAGCAAACAGCACTTTTAAAAATCTTTATTTTGTAATATGTGTGTCCAATTGGATTGAAACTTGAAAGAATGTCTCATTTCAAAAAATAGTCCTTTCAATACACTTGGCCCTTTCCTATAGGCCCTACAGACCTTTTTGCCTTATGATATCAAAAATGTTTGTGATTTCCAATACATCCCCACAGAATCTTTGTGACCATAATGGGAACTAAGCCCTAACATGGAGCTATCACATGAACAAGTTCATGGAAATTCATGGATGTAAGATGTTTATTTGAAAATTTGATTTCTATGGGTTTAATCTTATTTTTATCAAGATTATGTATGACAACTGTACACATGTACTTTTAGATTATCTAGTCTTAGCTACAGAAATAAAAGTTTATGTGTTGTTGACCTTACAGGAGGGCAAGGGAGTGAATGATCAGAAATGGGTTGACTTTCTTTTGATGCTAATTTGGATCCAAATTTCTCCAATTTGTGCTACTGTGAAGAATGAATTTGAATTAATAAGTAAATGTTTTATCATGCCTGCATGTGTGTTTTAGCAGGTACAGGCAGTGAAAAGAGCTTATGAAAGTTGTATTGACCTGATTACTAAGTTTATAGAAGAGGGAAGTTGGGGACCTCTGTGGGTATGGTAGATAAGGTGTTGTGATGGGTAAGGGAGGAGTCTGGTTCAGTGGCCTCCTCTAGGCCATTTATCTAATAGCTCTTCCCCTGAAATGGAAAATATTGGGAGCATGATATCAGAATGACTAATCCTAGCACACATGGACTGAGCTGGCACCAGGAAGTGACCTGGTTTTTTTTAATCAAATTGACTTTAGATGAATTGTTTTTAGGTGAAGTGTCCTGCTTGTATAGGTAAACTAGCAAACTGACCAGGCCTCAGTTTTGGAAAACAACTTCTGTTGTCTCCATTGAAGAGACAGAAAGCCTATACTCAGATGTTACCTTAACCAAATTGAATCAAAGAAAACAATGAAATATATTATAGCCAGTAGAGTATCCAGCCTATTCCTACTTCCTACCCCTCGTGTTTTTTAAAGAGAAAAAAACATAGTATGGAGTAAAGTTGGTTGCTTAGAAAACTCCATTTTGAAATCCAGCTTTTTAAAAACTTCTCACATAGCTTGGCTTGAGCAGGGTAGCAGACTAGACAGAAAGATCCCAGAGAACAGCTTACATCTTTACAGTACACCATAAAAACCATCCCCTATCCTCTTTGGACCTTCAATTGGTGAAGAAATTATTTTCTTGCCATCCAAGAGAGCCAGAAGACAGAGGACTTCCGAGTTCCCAGTGTGACCCGCGGTGTTGGTAAGTTTCCCGGCTTCAGTCACATCACTTTTTGGATGCTTTCAGCTTCACAAACCTCCAGCTAATAGGTGTGACCAGATTTTTTCTGGCCTGGCAATGGCTGTCTTGGTCCCTCCCATTTCTTTGTCATGAAAGCAGGTGAGACCTCCCTGTCTTATTCCCTTCCTCTTATTCCAGGTCAGTCAAAATCTATGCTTGTGTAGACTGTGTTTAAAAGTGCTCTTACTCCCGCTCCTTCATCAGGCCTGACCTGTGAACACAGTGATTCAAAGGTGGTCTGCTCAGGTGTGTGAAATAACAGATCTGCCAGGCCTGCAGGCTTTTGAACAACCACCTTTTCCATAGCCCAGGTAACTTAATTTCTTTCTACCACTTCTGACATGAAATCCTCAGAAAAAAGGGTTAAAATTGATGTGACCTGCCTACTCTTATGTTGGCACATTCTTAAAGAGTTCAACAAAGTTCTTTATGTCATGCCCTGTGGACTTTCTTCCTCTTAAGTCACTTGAGCTAATGTATATAAACTCTGGACAAAAATCAGACACTCTCTCCAACAAGGCTTCTTAAACTTTTTCCACTTGGAAACCCTATATAGAGTTACGACCCCCGTCTGAAGAGTGCTGCTCTATAGAGCTGGGTGACCCAGGAAAGTATGGGTGGCTGCCTTAATCCCACATTCTCTTGTGTGTGTGACAAGAGCTTTCTTTGTAAATCTAATCTTTTATGTGAGGCAGGGCTGGCATTGGCATGGACGAGGTGTGGCAAGATACCATCCCATATCTTTTCATAGGTCTAAAACTGTCCTGTGACCTTGATATAGGTCCCCCAGAAAAGGACTTTGCCTGTGAAAAAACCACCTCCTACTTAATTCTACTTCCTTATTTCTTCCACTGAAATGATACACAAATTACTCTACTTCATTTTTTTACTGTAAAAGGAGTCTGGTACTGACCATCCCTAATCCTGTTACTGGTCGTTGCTACAGTTTGCAAGTGTTCTCAATCCCCAAAGAAACGTTGACTCACTATGATACCCTCTCGTGGAAGCAAAGATGAATACTTTCTCAACTTTGCTGGCCGTAAATGTGTTTTCCTAATTTTGTTATATTGATTGATTGGAACTATTGCTCTCTCCTTACCCTCCCCACCTCACACTGGGCTTTAGTGCTAAGACTGACACACCAGATGTCTTTCTGTAAATGATCCACGAAACCAGGATCAGCCTGCAGGCAGTAAGTAACAAACCCTTGAAGTTTATATTGGGACGTTGGCTGGACTGAGGAGAGCGCCAGAGGACCAGGTTCCGTCGAACCAGCCAGACAGAGCTGTAGTTTGCTTACCAGGCTGCTCCCGGATCCAGAAATGGCTTTAAATGTGTGCGTTTAGCATTTTTGTGTGTGTCTACCCCTGCTAACGGGTCGTATGTATATTAAGCCATGTCATGTGTTAAAATCCCTTGACTACTTAGCAGAAGCTCTTGTCTTCAGAAAGGTGAAGAGTGATTGGACAAAAATGGGGATCCTAGTCCCTCCCTGCTGTTGATCCTGGTCCCCACATGCCCCGTCCCCAGCTTCCTTGGTTTATCTCTTACAGGTGCTCCCAACAAGGACTGTTGATTGTTGTAGGCAGCAGAGTCACCAGAGTGCGCCAGTGTATTTCTCTTCAAATGTGCTGCCGGTCCCTGGCCCAACCACTTAATCTACCCCGTGGTGAGAAGACACCTCATCCTGTCATCTCGAAGTATGGTTTCAGAGTTAGGCCCTGCTTTCCAGATTCTAGCCTCATGAGGTAGCTCAGCCAGGAAGAATCTCACTTAATTTCTACAGTCTGAGAAGTCTTCTGACATTTTTGGAATCAGGAGTAGTGGTAGATGGAGAGGGAAAGGAAAATCGCCAACAGCCCTTGTTGGAGTCCCAAATTCTGTTGCCCAGGAAGGTCCAAGAGCAAGTATGTTTTATTCTTATTTATTTATTTTTTTGTTGCATTATCCCATATAGACAAATGTTTGGCGTAAGTTTCCCCTGTGAATTTAGTTTGAAATGCTACTACTACACCTATGTAGACCAAGGAAGAGCCTGGCCCCCAACAAAAAGCACTCAGCTTCGTTTAGGAAATAATTGCTCATGTTTTACAGCTGATCTGACATTTAGGTGCAACATTTGTAGATACTTGTATCCTGTTAATAAAATCGAATTTACACCGGCATGGGTCATGTAGTTTATAAAAGACATTTGACAGTTGACAATTTTTTTAGTTCCTTAGGAAATTTCTAGTAATTTAAATGTATAGTTTTGTAACCTTTTATGTATGTTAATCTTTTCTCAGTATTACCACTTGGAGAATTCCTAGTTTCTTAAACTGTAATTGGTTATTTGTGCTGTGATACACAAGTTTGTTGACTGCAGCAATAAAATATTTCTATGAAAAGGAGCACGGCCATGATAATTTTCTAAAGGAAACTGAAAATGTCACATAAGTAGAAAAGTTTCCCTGCTTTAACAGCCACATGCAGATGTGACTCTTTGCATTTTTTAGGTTTCTGATCTTTGCATGCTGAAAAAGAAGAAAACTCCGTTCTTAGGTGATTTTCTTTCCCTTCCTGTTCCCCTTCCAGAATCGTTACCTTTGCAGAATTCCTGTTGAGGAGCTCTTTCTTGCACCTATCTGGCTGCAGATCATGGGACCATAGATTTAGAGGAGGAAAGAATCCTAGGAGGTCATCTAGTCCAAGCCCTGTACTTTATGTTGCTGAAGAAGCTGAGGCCAAGAGAGGGTGAAGAATTTGCCTGGGGGTATTTAAAACCAGATCCTCCGCCTCCAGGGCCAGGGTTCTTTCCAGTATGCTTCTGCCTTTCAGATGCAGTCTTCATCCTTCTTAAACTGCCACATTTCAGTGACTTTATGAGAAAAACAGCACAAGAGACTGACTCTCAATCATAAAGACTCGAGTTGAAAAGAACATTGGAAATTATTTAATCTAACCCTCTTATTTTACAAAGGTAGAAACAGTTTAAGAGAATTGAGGTGACTCGCCTAAGTCATTTGTTTTTTTTGTATTGTCTGCTGAGAGCTAAAATAGATTCAATAAACATATTACCTAAAGCATTCAAATTCCAGTAGTAATCACTGTTTTATGTTTAGGGGAAAAAAAATTAAACCTGAGGATGGAGAATGGAGTACTGTTATTTTGCAGTCAGCACACTCTAATTATCCTTAACCTTTTAAACATTTACTGAACTTGAATCATCTGCTTGGGACCATACAGGGGGAGAAAAGGACAACCACCACCACCAAAAATCTCTGCCCTGTGAGTCCTCCCTCTCTGCTAAAGTGAATTACTGTCTGTGTTCCTGTTGGGTCAGGAGTGGGGTGTACAATAGGATAGAGAGGGTGGGTGATGTGAACTTTGAGGAAACACACCACCAGCATCAATAAGGTATGATGACCTGGAGAGCATTTCCATATTTGTATCATCGAATAGCGTTTTGGTCAGCTGGGAATCCCCAAAGGATTTCTTTTTTTGTGTCTGGTTTTCTTTTTTAAAAAAGGATAGTTATACTTTAACATTCATTTTTAAATATTTTGAGTTCCTAATTCTTCCCCGTTCTTCAGCCTTTCCCCCACCTAATGAGAAGGCAAGCAACGAGATGTCATTTACACATTTGAAGTCATGGAAAACATACTCCAAAATATTTCAGTATGAATCTTTCAAAATGGGACCCTCTGGAGAGGATAAATTTTCCCCAGAACCTGTGTTTGGTGATGCAGATGACCAGTTCTGGTGCTGTAGTTCCATGCATCATAATAGCATCCCTGGAGACGTAGCACACTGAAACTACAGAATCACTAATCTCCTGCCATTTTTGTTCTCCTGTGACCCCTGCTATAGAAGTGAGAGTGAAAAATCATGTTCCCCCTACCCAGCATGGTCAGAGAGCCCATATTCCTGGCTCAGCTGAGAGTGGCCAGATTCCCCTGGCGTCAGGGCACAGGAGAGCTTCAGCCCCATCCACCCAGGGCGGTAGAAGAGCTGACCCCATCTTTGGTTGTTCCTGCTGAGGTGTGTGTCCCATGGGAGAAAGAACAATGATGTCTTTAGGATGGTGGAAGGAAGGAAAGCCCTTCAGCTACAGACTGAAAGACTTAGAGAAAGTAGCTCAGGCTTCTGAGAGGTGCCTGTCACTGCACCAAGCCCCTGAGGTTTTACAAATGATGAGATGAAATCTCTGTCCTTTAAAAGCTTCTTAGTCTGGAATGCCTGTAGGCAATGAGGGCCAAAAGATGGAGGCAGGGAAGGAAAGAAGGTAGGGAAAGAAGAAAGAGAGAAGGAAGGAGGGGGAGAGAGGAATTGATTATTCAGGTCTTACTTTGTATCAGGGAGCTTACACTCTAAATGGAGGAGAAAACATTTAAGAGGGTTTGGTTTCAGGGCAGATGGGAAGGCCCGAGAACCTCAAGAGTTGGTTTTAGGAAAAGGGCAGCCAATTCAGAGCTGCATCTCATGGGTCCTGAAAGGCACCCGAGTGCTTGGGCTTGATGCGTAATTCTGACCTCACCACATGATGTAGCCTTCCTGCTCTCTTCCTGGCATCTAAGGAGGGGGGATTTTCCTTCTGGAGTCAAACATCTCTCTTCCTCCTGTAGGCAGGATAGCATTAAAAAACCACAGAACCAGGATGTAATATGTATTGGGACTTTTCCTCCACCAAGCTTCAAAAGCGGTGGTGGTGGTTTGCACCCTGAGGATCTTTGGATCTAAGTGTTCCTGTGCTGGGGTGGGGTCCAGGCTAGGGGTTGCCTGTGAGGATAGGGAAGCTGCAGACAACAAAGGCCAGGCAGCTCTGAGAGGGGACGATGGACAGGATCAACTTCTACAAGTAAAGAGTAGCTAACTTCCCAACTCCAGCTGAAGTCACTGCAATGGCAGGACCCATCAGTCAAGTCAAAAGGCTGTTTCATGCCTACTAATTCTTTCTTTGGCCTTTTGAAGCAGGTGTCTGAGGGGCTGTACTTGTGCCCTCCTAGCCAACCCTCAAGAACTGCAGAAATTGAAAGGTATGTAGTTCCAAGCCTTAGAGTCTGTGTGAAGCAAGCCATGAATGATGGTGCCACACATTACTGGGGAGAGTTTCTGGGAAGTACGTCATAGAGATTTCTAGGGTCTGGCGCTGACAGAATCTCAAAAATTGAAAGGACCTCTGAAGCTTTCTTGTGCAACCTATGCCTGAATAAGAATCCTTTCTACTGTGTCTCTGACAAATGGTCATCCAGGCTTTACTTAAAGACCTCCCTGGGAACTGGGGGGAAGCTGGTAAAAGGGAAGGCAGATTAGGGGAGGCAGCAATCAAAAGCAAGACACTTCTGAGGATGGACAGAGTGAAAAGAGATGGAAAGTAGGCTAGACGGGGGTGGGGGGAGAATGGGGTGGAGGGAAATAAACAGTAATCATAACTGAAAAAAACCTTTGCAGCAAGTACCTCTGATAAAGGCCTCATTTCTCATGTATATAGAGAACTGAGTCAAATTAAAGTAAGAGCCATTCTCCAATTGATAAATGGTCAAAGGATATGAACAGGGAATTTTCAAAGTAATCAAAGCTATCTGTAGTCATAAAAATGCTGTAAATCCCTATTGATAAGAGAAATGCAAATTAAAACAACTGAGGTATCACCTCACACCTATCAGATTGGCCAATATGACAGACGAGGAAAATAACAACTTTTGGAAGGGATGTGGGTACTTTGAGACACTAATGCACTGTTGGTGATGTCGTGAACTGATTCAGCCATTCTGGGGGAATAATTTGAACTATGCCCAAGGGGCTGTAGAAGCATGCATACCCTTTGACCCAGCAATACCACTACTTGGTCTGTATCCCAAAGAGATAAAAAAAAAAAAAGGAAAAGGACCTCTATGCACAAAAATATTTATAGCAGCTCTTTTTGTGGTGGCAAAGAATTAGAGATTGAGGGGATGCCCATCAATTGGGGAATGGCTGAACAAGTTGTGGTATATGAATGTAATGGAATACTATCGTGCTGTAAGAAATCCATGAGCAGATTCTCAGCAATACAGTGATCTAAGATAACTCTGAAGGACTTGTGATGAAAAATGCTGTCCACCCCCAAAGAAAGAACTGATGGTGTCTGAATACAGACTGAAGCATATTTTTTTTACTTTATTTTTCTCGAGTTTTTTTCTTGCCTGTGTTTTCTATCACAACATGACTATTATGGATATGTTTTGCATGACTGCACTTGTGTAACCTATGTCAAATTGCTTGCCTTCTCATTGAGAAGGGGTTAGGGAAGGAGAGGGAGGGAGAGAATTTGGAATTCAGAGTTTTAAAAACAAATTTAAAGTTGTTTTTATATGTAACTGGAGAAAAATAATATTCTAAATAAAAACTAAGAAAAAAAAAAGAAATGATGAGCAGGATATTCATCAATCTGGACCTACATGAGCTCGTGCAAAGTGAAGTGAGGAGAACCAGGAGAACATTGTACACACTAACAGCAATATTGTATGACGATCCACTGTGAATAACTTGGCTATTCTCAGCAATACAATGATCCAAGATAGTTCCTAAGGATTTATGATTAAAAAAAAAACGCTTTCTCCATCTCCAGAGAAAGAACTGATGGACCAATGCAGTTCTTGATGGTTGGCTAGGAGGGCACAAGTACAGCCCCTCAGACACCTGCTTCAAAAGGCCAAAGAAAGAATTAGTAGGCATGAAACAGCCTTTTGACTTGACTGGTCCTGCCATTGCAGTGACTTCAGCTGGAGTTGGGAAGTTAGCTACTCTTTACTTGTAGAAGTTGATCCTGTCCACTGTCCCCTCTCAGAGCTGCCTGGCCTTTGTTGTCTGCAGCTTCCCTATCCTCACAGGCAACCCCTAGCCTGGACCCCACCCCAGCACAGGAACACTTAGATCCAAAGATCCTCAGGGTGCAAACCACCACCACCGCTTTTGAAGCTTGGTGGAGGAAAGTCCCAATGCAGATCAAAGCATATTTTTTTAAGCTTTATTTTTCTTGTTTTTTTTTTCTTTTGGTCTGTTTTCTTTCCCATGACTAATATGGAAATATGTTTTGCATGACTGCACATGTATAACCTATGTCAAATTGCTTGTCTTCTCAATGAGGGGGGAATGGAGGAAGGGAGAGAGGGAGAGAATTTGGAGCTCAAATTTTTATAAA